GAGTCTTGCCATTCGTTGCACCATATTACAACTCGTCAAAGAGACAAGTCTTTTTGACTTTGACAGTTTGGAGGGTTCCTATCTGGCTCTTTGTTTATTCTTAATATAATATTTAATGTAGGTATTTTAGATTTTGTGTCATTATGTTACAGTGTTAACGTACTGATCGGTTTTATCGTTCTACAAAGGCCATCATCTTTTAATGTCTGTTGGAAAAAGAGGCGTTGATGTATGATAAGCGAACTTATCATTTTTGTAGTTATCCAGTATCTTGTCCTTTATTATGAAGACATGTAATAAACACATTGAGATTTGGATTTGAAGGTCAAAATTGGATTACTTTTATTTGTTTCTCAAGCTTCTTTAATATAATGGCTTGACTTCGTTTTCTCAATTTGGTAGTTATTACTGGGAGACTTTGTAGAAACTTTCTTATTCGGTTACCTCTGCCACTGCTTCATTTGATCTTTGATCAGTTACATTGTATTAAATGGCTATACTGCCATAGAAACTCTTGCTGATTTGATGCAAGAAACGCACATTGCAACAGTGGTGAAGTGCACAGTATGAATTACATTTCGGCTGAGTCACTTTACTTTTTCTAATCTCCTCCAGGTACTTCTCCTTGCATATTCCTAATTCTCTTCATCAACAATCGACTCGTCGATTGCCAACCAATTCGACGTGCCGTTGAGATGGCTTACACTGCTTGCCTTCCTCATTGCACCGGTAAAATCAGAAGCAGTCGTTCGATGATAAACTCAACCGGGGGTGACCCGGCACTCGCTAGTGCAAGTCTGCTTGTATATCTGGGACTTCAATTGCCTGCTGCGATATTGGACGTTAATGTTCATCCCACCAAGTCAGAGGTTCATTTTATGCATGAGGTAGGTGACTTCAGATTAATAGAATTTCTCTAGAGCTATCATTGAGTTAATATATGGTTTGATTTTTACTCCCTATACTTTTATCCAATTTTGGTGCAGAGTGATTCTTATATCCAAGTGTATCAGCATCGTACCCATTTGCATAGAATTAACTCGCAAGCCAAACGGGTCAATATAGAATACCATTTGCTACTTATTCTTTACGCTTGATTTATCACGAAGAACATTTTAATCTGTCATCCACATCCGTCTTTGGCCACAAAGTTGCTGACTTCATTTGTATAAGTGGTTTAGCTGATCGGTAATGTACTTGCTCATGAAGGAAACTCTAAAATTTTCCAATTTATGTACAACTCGGCTTATATAACAAGGATCGTCTACATATAAATGATAACTCTATTTTGTATCGTATTGGTTTGACCTCGTTTTCGCAACTTGGTCGGAGCAACAGGGAGGTTTAATGGGGCGTGCCTAGCCCCGCGTCCTTTGACATAGTATGAAATTTTGTTTTTTTTTAATCTATGATTTAAAGGGTATTCTAGAGGCTTAGGTTTGATGCAAAAATAATATGATAGGCTAATGGGTGAAAGGATAAACACTGAAAACCTCGCAAAGTAATGTGATATACTTAGATATATTTAGAAGGCTTATCTAATCAATTATGAACCTCCATTTTGATGTATATTGATTTATAGATCATAGCTGATCAATATTTTACACGATATCTAGGAAAAGCTTAGAATTTATTGAATTTATTTGACCTTGTTTTTATAACTTGGTCATATTGGTAGGAAGGCACCTAGTCCGGAGTCCATTGTATGCATGATCATTTTCAAAGTCGAGCTGTGGACGTGGTACATTACCAGACGTTTCGCAGGCATCGTGGTCGGCATCGTCAGTGAATCTTGTCATTCTTAGCACCATACTACAATTCGTCAGAGACAAGTGAAGCCTATCCTTTGACCAAATGAAGGCTAAACAGTTGGGGTATCTCTTCTTCTGTCCTGGGCTATTCATCTTTCCTTTATCCTCATATCACGCCTTCACTATCACAATTTTTCTTGCCCTTTTAAGTGGATTTTATGAGAACCCTGCACAATCCACTCTGGCTTTCTCATTCCCCTTTATCCTGTGCTGGGTATTTTGATCAGAGTGTGCCATATTGTTACGCAGTCCTTTTCCCTAGGCCTTATCAGAGTCTCCCTCCTTCCTCATGGGATCCCTCTGATATCTCCAAAGTTAAAGTATTTCACTCGACCCCTGCCACTCCATCTGTGCTCCACGAGGCATTATTTCCAACACTGCGTCTGCCAGACTAACTTGAGGCTAAAGACCCCGAGTAATTCTCATGGTCAAGCCCTTGCTTCATAGACCACGTCTATGGTAAAACAGGCCTACTGTCAGCCAACTAGCTCTAGTCTCCGTCACTATCCTCTTTCTATCTCTAACACTAAGTCTATAACTTCCTATTTCCTGGTCTCTTGTGTGCCAACCCAAAAATGCGGTGGGTCTATTTGTTTGGATTAGGCTCACTGAGGACGTATCTTCTTTGTTTCTGATTGTTCCTTTCTGGTATCCTTTCAATTTATTTTCCTGAAATTAAAGATGTTATCTTGCTCTAGTCGTCTTCTTTTTGCTAATCTTACTATTTTCTGGTATTCTCCGAGTTCGTTTAGGCGATATGCAAAGTTTTCGCTGTTTCTGCCTTCTCCAAGTCTTTTCATTAGATTCCTTTCGGTCAGTATATTAATTAAGTTAAAGTCAGTACGCCCAGTTGAAGTGGCTACAGAGGTGACAACACTCACTGATCAGCACGGCGAT